ATGCAGAGCAGGTGTGTGTGTGTCCCTCCCATCCTACGGCGTAGCCGCTGTTGATGTCGGTCGCATGTGTTGGTTCGAAAGGAACCAACCGTCAGTTGGTGGTCCTGTCTAGTCAAAGCTATTTTTTTTTCCTTTTTTCGCAAGTACCATAATATATGTTGCGGCCGGTCGTCCCCGCCGGTTCTCGAAATACGATGATGGATACTTCGCATGGTCACGAGTATCCGGAGGGCGTAGGCTGACATGATCGGGAATCAGACAGACCGATGTCTCCCGATCCAGCCTGCTGGAAGGGTTCTCGGCGGTTGCTCCGAACCAAACCCCAGGCTTTTACTCGATGCCGCCCTGAGAATCAAAGATTTTGAGCCATATCCCTTGCCTACTGCCACCCATTGCTGTGAGCGCTGAACCTGAAATGCTTATTGTAGAGCTTGCGAAGGATGCATGGGTATGATATCGATGAGATGTGACGCTTTTGCATGTTGGAGCTTCTTGGTAGATGGAGAGTTCGACAATGCTGATTTCCTATGGATATCGGCTCCTCCGCAGACGTAGGTTTACTATAGTATGTATGTCTGCACTCCTTCTTCCCCTCACTGCCGCGGCAAAGCGTTGCGTAGGCATGACCCATAGCGAGGGGAGGGGTCTTTCTAGCGAGCAGGGCTAGACTCACCCTCAAGGGACCGACACCTTCTTGCTGCGTTGCACCCACCGCGAGACCTGCGTAGTGGTGGAGTTGGGTCGGCACGGGTGCGTCAGGTACAAAGGTGAAGATGCGCGGGCCTCCAGGCCGTCGGTGTAGGCAGCAATGCCCATCTCATCTTTGTGCGCGGAGGCAGACGCCATCAGAAAGGTGGACGGGCACTATGTACACGGCCCTAGGTTTGCTAGAGGGAGCTGTACTGTCTCAGTAACCTGGTTTTGCCATCAAAGGAGGAGGGGACAGGTAGTGACGAGCTGATTAGGCTGGTTGACCCTTCGGCGCGAGAATCTTCAGACCAAGAACCCTAAGTGCAACGAGGGAGAAAGCGAGGAACCGACTGGGAAGGACAGCAACGAGAGCGTGTACGAAGCGGAGCGGATCGAGTTTGGTCGCGCTAGGACTGACCACAGCGGCACCGGAGAAGCGGCACAGAAGCAGCGGCACCGGAGCAGGCGGACGGCATCGAACCATGGCGCACGGACAAACATCTCTTGTGTTGTCAACTATTTTCCGTTTTTTTCCTGAATATAGGTGTGAGGTGTGTGTGATGACGTCACTGGTTTTGTAGAGAAACGCGGCAGAGATGGCGCGGATAGCCGGGTGCCTTAATTGTGTACCTGCATCGTGGAAGACCTCTTCAATGAAGTACGATTCCTAGTCAGTATCGATGTTTACACTGCTGTGCCTAACACAGATGATCTGGATAGATTCGGGNCGCTAGGACTGACCACAGCGGCACCGGAGAAGCGGCACAGAAGCAGCGGCACCGGAGCAGGCGGACGGCATCGAACCATGGCGCACGGACAAACATCTCTTGTGTTGTCAACTATTTTCCGTTTTTTTCCTGAATATAGGTGTGAGGTGTGTGTGATGACGTCACTGGTTTTGTAGAGAAACGCGGCAGAGATGGCGCGGATAGCCGGGTGCCTTAATTGTGTACCTGCATCGTGGAAGACCTCTTCAATGAAGTACGATTCCTAGTCAGTATCGATGTTTACACTGCTGTGCCTAACACAGATGATCTGGATAGATTCGGGTGATTGTCAATTGCAATGATGGGTTTGGTTGGGTGTTCTTCTTCATTGTACGTCCACGGACTCATTTTGACAGCACTTCAGACAGCAGTACGCTGTAGTCGACAGACATTCATTTTGGTTTAAATGCGGGACAAGGGGGGTGATGCTGCTGCTGTAGTCGAATTGTAGTGTGTGGGCGTGTAGTTCAGTTGTGAGCACGCAAAAGTGCTGCAGGAATTGTAGGTGTACCTCCTCGGGCTTGTGTACCCTTTTCTTGCTAGTAGTGTGTGTTCTTCAGATCTTCTGATGGCTCTGTTAGCATCTTTGTGACCACGGACCGAGTCTTCGCTAGATTTTGGGATTAGCAACTGCCACGAGTTTAACCCTTTTGGGTCCACAGGCGTCCTGACAGATCATTGATTGATTGATTGATTGATCATTTGTTTGTAAATGACGGTGTTGTGGCGTGCCATGGTGATGCCGCCCTGTATCCCTCCACGCCAGGTGTTGGCAAGTCAATAGGTAGGTGTGTCTTTCTTATTCGCATCGACCGCGCTACCCGGTGGCCAATGAAAAGACGCTAGTGCCAGCGGGAAATATCAAGGTCCCTGGACTGGCCAAATTAGAAAAATGCACACTGCTCTAAATGCGAATACGACCATGAATCTCTCCCCATATCCTTTCACAGAGACACACATCAATAGCTCCACATACATGCCCTCGCCCGAATCTAGGAAGCCACTAAAGCAAAGACAGGAGGACAGCGAGAAGGGGCACTTCAAGCCCAAACAGGCCAGCCAGGATATCGTGGTGTGCTGCATATCCTCCAAATTCGAAAATCGTACACTCCCAAGATCCAGAACAGTCATCATGTCAGGGGCTATTCTACACAGCAGCAGCCGTATAGACGAGTCCAACATTTACAGCCGAGTAGGAAGTAACACATACACTATCAGCATCGCCACACACATACCCTCGCCCGAACCTAGAGAGCCACTGATGCAAAGGTAGATGTGTGCTGGTGCGTGCTTGCGTGCTTGTGTGAGTTGTGGGAAAATCACAGGAGCTGTAGTGAGCCGGCAGGGCTCGCATTGGGGAGGGGACAGAGAAGTACAGAAGTACAAGAACCAGCTATGGGTCTACAAGCCCTCTCACTGATCATTTTCACTGATTATTTGAATATACTGAAAATAGAGTAGTTCAGGCGGCTTGACGACTGATCTTTTCGAGGTCTACAAGCCTAAACTGCGCTACTGGCCGCACCGCGACCACGCATCAACCCTTCTATTGACCCTGTCTGTGTCCACCGTCCTGTCGCGGGCAGCCCTCATGGCCTATGGGTGGAGATAGCTGTTGCGTCTTCAGAAGTACACTCGTCTTCTCTCTGCTGTACTTCTGTCTCTCCCCGCACTCTCTCCTCCCTTTTTTTTTTTGCCGCAAAAAAAAAACGAGGTAGACCCAAAGGGGTTAATGTGAAGAAAACAACAACATAAGGTGAGACGTATGCATATCTTACCCGATTGAATAGTGCTCAACCATCTGTCTGTTTCACATATACTTGCAAGTTGCACATGTTGTTGTTGTTGTTGTTGTTGTTCTCACATTAGCTCTATAGTCCACAAAAAATGGGGAGCCCGTGGTCTCAAAACCCGGCGCATACGCCGCGGGGAAACAAAACATGTACAAAGGAATAATGTCAAAAAGCGAAGCTGCTCTTTGTCGGCCTGGGAACTAAAATTTCCGAATTTCCACCTGATGCTGTGGTATCCAGACAACATGCAGACCTCCAATAAGAGGTGGCCTAAATGCTTCGGTTCTTCCGCCGAGTGCTCCCATGCTCACGGGTGGTTGAAGACTTAGTCTTTCAACGGATGGTTGAAGACTTAGACGGATGGTTGAAGACGTAGTCGTTCAACCAATAGCCTGCCCTGATGGACCGAGTCTTACGCATGTTACTGTGTTCGTAATGCTTTTCAATCCTCGTGCTGGCTTATACAGTGCCCTCTCTTGAGGTGGTCACCCGTGCCTCGGTGTGTTTACTTTGCCTCCTCCGACACCGTGGCTGCCCTTGAATGGGGAAGTCAGCTGCGTTTTTCGTAGTGTCGATAGAAACTTCGTGGGGATCATCGCGGCTTTGAAACAGCAGCGTTGTCACGTGCCCCCCCCCCCCTCGTTCTTAGAGGGCGATCGCAGTGGAGGTATAGTAGGGTTCGTCCACGCCTTTACAAGTACAAAAACGCCACCACACAGGATGAGGCGGAGTGTGCACCTGGCAACTTGAGGTTGAATAGCGAATTGAACAGCGAAAGAGGTTGACTGAAAGTCAATGTCCACGGCGTTCAAAACATGTTTGTAGCAGTACGTAGCACATTTATCCATGGCTCTCTTGCGTGTATGTGTGTTCGGCGTGATGTTCACCCACGGCGTACACATGCCTATGTACAGCCGACCCACCACGCTGCTGAAGACTGGACATGTCAACCCACGAGCCCCGATTAAAAAAAAAATGCAAGAAAAATAATGGGAGTTCAGTGGCGGGCACTACACGACGGCTGCTGCCATCCAACTTAAATAGCGCTTGGAAATACAAATGATAGCCTGTGCTCAATCGTAGAGACACCACATACATACAGAGTAGGAGTTTGATTGGAGCCTTGGTCACAAAACAGGCATTCCTTACGACTTGCAAGTGTGGCGCCAACAGGCACATGTTGTCTACAGCTGATGTGAGCATCTTATGTGTATCGACCCTGCAACCGTGAATGCATGCATGCATACATAATGTGCAGCATTTGTTTGCCGGATCCCTTCAGGTTGGGCATAGAGACTCCGCACGGGCCCCGACACCTACACCAGACAAAAGGCGGTTGTATATATACATTGTATATATATATTTTTTTCTCCCATTATCGGATTCTGTCGTCTGCCCCTCTGACCCCTATCCTCCACTTCTACTAGCTAGACGACCCAACCGGGGTCACATAGGAGGGGGGGGCTGGACTCCCTCCTGCGGTTCCTGCCTGAAATATTTTTATCGCGAGAAGGGTACAGCAATTCCTTCCCTCGCGACTTGCGAAGTCGATTATGGTTTACTAACAACGAGCTTTGCAACGCGTCGCGTTCATCCTAGACCAGGATTTATTTAGTGAGAAAAAAACTCACTCTGCCGGGACTCGAACCGGTTACCTACTAGACCACCGGGGCGACCAGTGTAATGTGCTCCGACGTATCACCATCACATTATTATGAACGGGTACCCACATTTTGTTCACCCCGCTCACCGGTTCCTTCCTCTCACGCTTGTTCTTCCTTACTGCCAGTGTAGCACCAGCAGCGGCAGCGGCGGTGTTATCCCTGTGGGCGGATGAGGAAGACCCAGCAACAACTCCAACAAATACCACGCCCGACTCGGACCCGTTATCGCTGTCAGAGAAACAGATCTGTTGAACAGAGGCAGAAGGAGCCTTCCGCTTACGACTCCTCTCGCCGGCGGCGGGGCTAACTGGCTCTCCAGCTCCATGGCCGCGGTCAATGCTTGCAGTAGCAGAAGATGTAGTCGACGGTGATTTTGATGCCTGTAGCCGTCGCTCCGCAGCCTGCGCTGCTTTCTCTCGTCTCGAAGAAGCGCTGCTGCTCCCGCTGCTGCTGCTAGTGTTTGCACCCTCGGAGGTGGTCATATTAATCGTCGCAAATGTTGCCAAGCACTCTGTTGCTGGCTTACTCCGGTCAAGATATGGCCCACCACGCGTTTGCCACGATAACGATAGAGGGAGACAACTTAATGGTCGTCCTCTCAGCAAGCGCATGCGTCGTGTGGGCGCGAGGGAACGGAGGAGCACAACAACCAGCAAAGCCCGACTTCTACGGAGCTGCTGCGTGAGAGCAGGAGGCGCAAACAACAACAAGAGCAAATCGACAACCGGCTCCCGGGAATCTGCCCTCGAGGGCAGATGAGAAATCTCCCTACCCTCAAAAACGCCTCCGGAACCAACCTTTACAGGACCACATTTTGAATTGGAAACGCCCTTTCCATTACACGCAGCAGCAGAACCCGAGAGCTGGCGTACACGTGTACACCACCAGCCGTAGCATGGAGGCTGCACATGCACATGCTGGGCACTTTGCAGAGCTCTGCTTCCCCGCTCATTGCTTCCGCGAGAGATGAACCTAGACGTGATGCGTTGGGTTTCATCTCGCACGGCACGGCGCTGAGTGCGTGCGGAGAATCATGGGAAGAGGACGTGTTGGTGGTAGACGTTGACGATGGCACCGCTCCACCAGCTCCAAGAAGCACCTGTCCTGGAGCAGCCCCAGCTCCACAGGCCAGCCAAGTCCAGCTGAACAGATCCCCAGGTGCGATAGCGTGTAATATGTTGAACGCCTCATAAGCACTAGATCTGTGTAGGCAGATCACACGTTTGTATCGGCACAATTTTAGCTGCCCGCAGTATCCGCATGTCGAACCGATCATTTTCAATGCATGCAGAGAGCAGGCCCTTCGGCCCTTCCGGGCATGTGCATTATTGGTCGTGCGCGTGTAATGATGGGTCGCCCTCCTTGTTTCCATCGACGTTGTCATGTGCAGAGGATAGGTCGCGCCTGAAGGAGGAGATATTGAACACGAAGTTCCCTACATTGAAGACGCAGACGGGCAGGCGTTCGGGGAGGGCACATGGAAAAACGTCGAAGACATCATGAAAGCGCGCTTCCTCCCAGATAAGACGGCGAAACAAGATGAAGGTAGGAGGAGGGTGCACCGCGAGCAACGCCGTTGGAGAGTTTTGGACCCTAGCTGTGATCAACAGCCGGCTGGAAACAGGTGGTTCGGCCCTGCGCCCTATCGCAGGCTGTTGCGGGGCGCTACCGCACTTTCCTGTTGCTCGTCACTGAAAGCACAAAGGGCGGAGCGTGCGCGCATGTGTTGCACTTGCCCACCAGCAGCGAAACTTTTTGTGACGGATACCATCATTGAAGTTGTGTTGCACACCCACCAGTGACATGTCAAAGTCCGCCTCGCTGTCCTTCCAGCTTGTCCCTGCAGCCCAGGAGCAAGCTCGGCTGACGAAGAACAGGTGGAGACGCGTCGAATTCCCTTGCGGTCAGAGTGGTACACCGGACCTCCGGACGCAAACGACGAAGACAGCAACGAAGAAGGTGGTTCTGTAGTTAAATCCTATGTTGAGTAGAGCTTGCCGACGCTGTTGTTTTTATGGTTAGCCAGGTCTGTTTGCGGTTGGACGGAAAAAATCGAGGGTCAACTCGTACTGCAATGTAGGAAGACCCTCGCCCTGATGAAACAATCCACAATAGTCGGATGGAAACCCCCTTGCTGTGGAGTCTAAATTCCTCTAGCAATTAAGAACACTTGTTGTGCGTCGTTTTAGTTTTTTTTTGTAGATTTATATGGAACGGAAACACTAGCGCGCTCTCATCTTCATGTCCACGTGTGCTCGCTCTGGAAGTACTACAAAATCCACAAGTATGAAGGCGCGGGCTGTATTCTGAAGGCCCTGTTTTCTTTGTTGCTGTCTTTCCTCGTCCTCGGCAAAGCACATCGAAAAGGCTTGTGGTGCGTGCAGACGGTGCATCATTGGAGCATGCATTTGCAGCTTTTCTTAGTTCTTTCCTGATAGCTTTTCAGGTAAGAGCTTGAACGTGCAGTTCCCTCCGCCGCCCCGCCCGATTCCCCCCTCGCGCTCGCCTCTTCCGCGCATTTCTCGACGTCACAAATGTTCCTTCACCACAAAGCGGAACTCTTCAAGCTGCTGCTCACAACCAGGCACATGTACACGTACATGGCGGAGTACGTTTTTGAACCAAGGTAAGCAGTGTCTGGCACGGCAGCAGCCGAGGTACGGATGCACAATCGGCAATCTCCCAAGACCTTCCCCGGGGAAATCTTCGTCTGTTGCGGTTGCTCCCCCGGGTGCCTTGTTGTTCTCCCAGCTTATGTGGACTTTGCCCGCCCCCCTGGGAACCTCTGCGACCCGTTGTGTTTGGTTGTTCAACTTGTTCGCTGATTAGCTACTTGTCGTTCAGCGTTGCACGAGTAGCTTTCCTCGCCTTTGACCCCGTGGCTTCCTTCCCGCCGCACGTAACAGGCGGATACAGCGGTGGGCTTCGTTTGCGCAGCCTGGGCTCCACACGCTCAGCAATGTCTCCACGCAGCGAGTGGAAGCGACCAACAGTGCGTTGAAGACGGCGATGGACAGGTCGGGGAGTATGGATGACGTACATGACGCCATCGTGGGCAAGGTCCAGGACGACGCCAACAAAAGCTTAAGGTGAGCATGTTATTGATTTGGCGTTCATTTTTCAAGGTCGTTGTCTTCGTTGTCTTCGTTGCGTCTCAATCGACTGCAGAAATGGCGTGAGGCGACGGCTTGTATGCTATAAAATATTGTGGCCAACCGCGCACAAGGGGAAAGGTTCTGGCCTGCCCATAGAATATCTTCCACCATTTGAAAACCAGCGTGCGTCCCCAGGGCCGTCTGTCGACAGCGACTATAGCGACGAAGCATGTCTAAACATGTGTCGTTCCATGTAACGATAGTCATCTTAGGTCGTAAGACTGGCCCGTGCAATCACGGCATGGAGTCAACATTGCACATCCACTCGCGAGGTCCATGCCCCGGCGGTCCACCGCTTCATTACTTGGGGCCTCGCAAAATGCGTGTTGTTATCCCGTCATCAACTAATTCCACCTTCTACCCGCCTTCTTGCTACTGGCTCGTGCGCTTTGAAGGCAAACCGCTGGGGGCGCGGTCTAACGCGTGCGCCAACCGACTGCCACGCCCTTTGAAAGAGTGAAGGACAGATGGCTGGGAGATTTCGACTTCGTCCGGCAGGGTACGCGTCACGCGAAATGTAGCGCCTTCGCTATGAAGGTCAGTTTTTTGCGTTCGTAGGTCTGCTGAGGGAAGAACCTTTCGGGCATCGCTCCTCTCTGGCCCCGCACCGTTCATCATTCCCTCCCCGCCCACCCGTGCGACCCTGCCGTACTTCTCTATTGGTATGCCTACCGTAGAGCGCGGCAACAGTGATATCTGCGAGCTTTGCACGGCACCCAATGATACTGTTGGGTGAAGATAGGTGAAGACCGTGCAGTTTCAATGCCTTGATTTCTTTCCTCCCGCCCCCTTGCTCGTACACCGGCTTCACGTTGTCGTTCCGTAAAATTTGCAGGACATGTCGGCCGAGGCCTTGGCGGTTATGGTCTACAAGGCCGAGATTCTGGCGACGGGCAACGACAATGTGCAACGCGAGCTTTCGAAGATGGGGTCGGAGCCGGCTAGCGCGGGGCTGTGTTACGACCCCACCTCCGGCGGAGGCGACGGCACGTGGACCACCCGGACGTCCGTCAAGTTCTTCGCGGACTTGCTCGAGGGCCAGGTTCTCGACAAACTCGTGCGCATCACCAGGAGCTTCCCGGATGGGGCACCCAACTACGGCCACCTCGTCGCCCTTGGACCCGATGGCTTCGTCCTCTGCACGTGCCTGAGGCTCCTCGTCGACGGTCTCGGCTGCCGAAATGCCCTCCGATGGACTTCGGCTTCAACGGAGGGTGTATTGCACCCCGCTGGCGTGATAGCACTTTGCCGTGGATGATGGCAGCCCTCGCCGCTAAGCGTGCGGTGCCAGAGAACACAGTTGCGGGGGTTCCCGGAGAGGTGCCGCCCGCTCCTGCGGATCCTGGCGTTTCTCCCACTCGAACCCCACGGCGAGAGCCAGCAATCGGGCCAGCTGCGTCGCCTTCGGGAAGGAGGTCGCAACTCTCATGACAGTTCGACACCATCGCCCCCTGCCAACGCGTCCTGGACAACCTGCTCAACCAAGCAAAGCAGCTCATCGAGGTGGAGGTGAGGTCGCAGCATGAGGCCTCCACGAACCGGATTTTCACGGGGGTCGTTGCCCGGCCTACGACCGGCACCGACCCGCCAGAGGAAGGGCACGTGGGGACGGGGCCAGGCGGGGGGCGGGCGAGGGAGCGGCCGGAGAGGCCGGGGGAGGGCGAGGGGACGTGGTGGGAGAGGTTCAAGAGGAAGAGGTGGAGAGGGAGGGGCGGTCCCTGGTGTGTCCGCGGCGAGCATGCCGAGCCTTGCCGTGGGCGTTCCGGCCTTCCAACAGGTGGCCGGCGCCGGCACCACCAGCGGGGGAGGGGAGGGGGGCGGGCCAAGGCTTGGTGTTTCCGCGGCGGGCATGCCGAGGCTTGCCGTGGATTTTTCGGTCCGCCGGGCTGGCGTCACCGGCGCTGCTGTGGGCACCCACAAACGGGACACAACCGGTCGGGGGTTCGGCGCACCGCTTCGCTCCGTGGGCAGCGCACCTCGTGGGGGGTTGGGGCAGGCTTCGCTCGGTCTCGCGTCCTCGGCGTCCCCGGCTTTCGGCGTGACAAACTCCTGGGCGCCGGAGAGTTTTCAGCAATCAAGACTGAACGGAGAAAGACTTCGTGCCGGTGAAAACCACGGCCAGCCTCTGCCTTTGACGCCCCAAGATGTAGCATTTTTGGACCAGGTACAATCGCCCCAGAAAAAGAAGCACATAGGACCGAACAGGAGGCGCGCGTCGACGGCCACGAGAAATAACCATGGTGGAGGGCAGCATGTAGTTTAGGGAGGTGCCCAAGGGGCCTGGGGGATATATGGGTTGCGTTGGCCTTTTGTCTTTTCGTCTTCGTGGAATACATTTTTGGTCTTGGCGTAGAGGAGGGTGCACACCGCAGCGAACATCTGTTCCGGGAAGAGGGTTTTCGCTCGGAAATTTGGAACCCAATTGCGGCGGCACGTCCGCGAGGGGAGCAAGGGATAGAGTGAATCAAGCTCGGAGTTTCGCGGGGCGACATGGGGGGATAATGTAGGCGTGGGAGTAGCCTTTCCTGAGTTGCCGCACTGCAGTTGCGTTATGGCTTCGTATTGACGGGACTCATGTCCGTGAGCGCCAGTTAAAAATGTTTCGTGCCGGTCTAGTTGCGGCTGTGTGGACAGCAGTAACGGGGTGCAGCAAATGACGACGTCTTATGCGGCCATGTTTTTGATGTTTTCATCGTGCACCTGCTTCTCAATTTAGAACCACGGTGCTCTATCAGTAAAATATAGACTTACTAGTCTAGACTTGAAGAGCTGTGGTTCGTGTGCTGCTGTGATCGGCTCAGATCCCATGGATAGGGATGATTTAAAAAATAATCAAATCATTTCGCGCGGAGCGCGAAGAATGTTTTAGGAGGCATAGTTCCCGTCCGGGTTTGTTGTTGTGTTTGCTTGTCACGTTTGCCTTCCTTGCTCTTCGAGATGATGCTCGATTTGATCGCGATTTCTTGCGTTGAAATCTTTGATTGCATTTCTTTCCTTCACGAAAAGTTTTATTTCCACAGCATTGCTGACGATACCGAGTTATTTTATCACATTTCACAGCGCCACATAATTCGTCCGGTGTTACAGCAAAATATTTCAAATAAAAGGGGCAACAACTCTGAACACACGATTAGCTCACAACAGGCTACTTGGTGCTTGCTGGGAAAAAAGCGAACAAGTCTAGACCTGACTTTACCATTGCGATTTTTTACGACGAGACGAAACAAAAACAAAATGCTACCTACCCCGGACGTTGGCTATCTATGCAGTTGAAGTGCACTTGGCACAATCACACTTAGACCACCCTCCCTTCCCCTCCGGCCTCATTTTTCCAGTCCTGTGTGCGTCAGGCCGGTACACCTCAACTGGTACATTGTTAGCGTGGCTCTCTCCCCTCTCTCGCGGGGGAGGGTGCGCCACCTTATTTCCGCCTTGCTGTCTGCGGTGGCCGCACGTAAAATACTGCTGAGGGGCTCGAGGTGGGCCCTCGGCCTTTGTCGACTCTGGTTCTGGGCTAAACTCCGCATGTCCGCCGCCCACAACATCGACCATCAGTCCACCCCCTACATCAGCAGCTGCGCCACCCACTACACCAGCCGCTGCGCCACCCCCGTAACAAGCGCCAACTCCTGCCCCAGAACGACTCCGTGGAACAGCCGGGGGCACTACGCTACCGACCATACCAGCAAACTCCTCGCCTCCCGCAGGCTCCTGCAAAGTACTTCGCAACTCCGCATTGCTTGGCGAAATGGAATCATAGTGTTCGTAGCATTCGCGCGTTGTCTGTAAAGCTCGTAGTAAGCCTGCAATTGCCTCGCGGTTTTACGATACACTGCTTCCCACTCCACCCGGCCAGATTCAATCTTGCCGCAGTGCTCGTTCCACTTCTGTGCCCATCCGGCGAAGTTGACGCCCTGGTATTGCTGGAGTCTACCCATCTGCTGGCCCGGTATATATTGAAAAGCACTGAGTTCGCTGGCAAATTTCCGCCTCTCTACTCCATTGTGCACGGGCATTTCAGGCATTCCGACGTTCATCACGCGTGCATACTCGTTAGCGGAATGCGTGAGCTTAGGAAGAGGCACAGCATTTTGGACCATTTCTTACTCGCCAAGAGCATCAACCCCCAAATCACCAGTATCAGCCCCCCCCCACATGCTCTGCGCGAGTCCACTCCTCTCGCCAGTGTCTGCCGCGTCAAGTGCCGAAACTTATTCAGAAAATACCGGGCAGTCCGGGTCCCAGGACGTCGTCTCGCGTTGAATGATCTCGATGTCGAACTGATCGAAGCATCCGCCGATCTCCTTCGACAGGTTCTTCACAGCCATCTTGATATTCCAGCGATGTTTGAACTCAAGAAGGATGGAGTGGGCTAGCGCGGGGGACGCGCAATACGTCGATAGCAACCTGAGGAGCAAACGATGGTAACCCTTTCGAGAAAAAAAGAAACACGCGGACGACGAAAAAACAGAGGGTGCGTATGGGTACGAAATCGCACCGACCCCCAACCAAATGCGCCAAGAGTTGTGCGAGAAAGATTCAGATGAGCATATTGGACGGTACTTCGATGGCATAAAACGAGCAATGAGCAGGGATTGGTTGCTTTCTCAGAAGCGTGGTGCTCACCTCGGTGCTATTGGTTCCGCGGACACAGCGACGCGAGGTGATCCCCCCTGTGGTCTTGCCCGTTGTGTAGTACAGCGCTACATCGTTGGGATCACTCAAGCGGTCAGCTTCGATGTGCCTGCGCAGGAGGTTAACGGCGTCCATGGCTTTCGGCCGTAGGAGAATTTCTCCCGACTTGGAATCAATGACATCCCAGAACAGCTCTATCACTTTATTGAAACGCTTCAACAAACGTTCCCGTTCCGGCACCAACCGGCGACAGTTCCGCAGAAAAATCGTCTAGTTCCTGTCCTTGTGTTCTTTCACCTTCTCCGGCGTCATGCCTTGCGCTTGAAGAGATTCTTCTACCCGAGATTTTGTACACAGGCGCGATATTGTAAGACAAACCCGAAAACCGTTGTTAGCTACGACATAGGAAGTGTGCTTCAATGCATGTATTCCTGCGCGAAATGATCACTACCTCGATATTTCGACCCCGACGAACAACACAAGCAACGCAAAAAACACTTACCGCGGATATCGTCTTTGTTGATGACGAAGCATGCGTCTCTCAATCGACTCATGAATGACCTGTGTGCGCCGTGGCTCTTCGCCAGGAGCGAGATACGTTGCAGCGCGTGAAAGATGTCCAGCCGAACCTTGAGCATGTGCCTCTTCATCTCCTGAGAAAAAAAGTGGTTCAGCGAACAGACCACCGGTGGATGAGCGGCTTGCAGCAAACAGCCGTCAATGACAACTCTCAAGAACTACCCTGACATTGCACTCACATTGTCCTCGTCGATATCATCATGACTATCGCCCGTGTCTCCTTGCTGACAAGCGCGACTGCTGCACAGAGTACCACAGGCATCTCGTCGAACCACTTGTGCCAGATGTCTCCCAGATAGTGCGCCGATGGATGCCTGCTGTTAAACCCCAACGCGTCTGCCATTTCCTCGAATTTCGGGATCTTACCGACGTCGGCATCTGGCCCCAACAAGCCCAAGCCCTTAAGTTGAGACACACGGCGGTTGGCTAGAGATACGTACGAACGATAAAGTTTGAAGTACGTTGCGGTGTACGCATTTTGAAGGGACTTCGAAGTCGCCGCGAAGCCCTTCCCCTCAAGGAGATCATCTGCAAGACGGTCAATCAAGCTCCTGGAAATAGCGGCTTTCCTCGTCAGGACAAACGGAAATTCCTTCGACACGAAATCATCCATCCGGGCCAAAACGTCAGGATCCCACGCTTTGAAGGTCGCGGTTGTACGATCCTCACTGTTCTTCATGGCGTTGGCGTCGGTGCATCGCTTGCAGTAGTACCTGGTACCAAGACGCGAAGCACAGCGCACACGCGATACTTCAGTAAGCACTCCGCTAGTCTACGCATGTTGCTAGGAAACACACACGAAGCAGAGAAAAAGTTGGACGTGTGTATATGACAAATATCCACAGCACTCTGGGCAGGCGTACCTGTAGCCGATCAAATAACAGACATCTTGTTCTAAGAACACTCGGCGTGCGTCAGTATTCCACCCATCCGGCTGCCCACGCTCGCCACAATGCGGACAGGGAATGCAGTCGATCTCGTTCCAGATGTATTCAGGCACCCACACGAACACTTTTTTCAAGTAAAAAGGCTCCACGGATGGTATACCTGTAGCAAGGCCAGGGAAAAACTATCGAAGCTCTACTTGGTGCGCGTGTTGTGGAGGACCTACGTGGCGAGGAAACCAACGAATGCGATCGTCTCATGTGGTGCTGCTGTGAAGCTCCTGCGCAACGTACACAGCAGCTACATGGTGAAACAATCTACAAAAGCACCTCTTTCTGTAGCTACGCCCAGTCCACTGCTGCACTTACCGGCGGACTGCTGTAGCGACGGCAGAGGAGGTGACGCCCATCCGTCACGGTAAGGGAACTCAGAGATCCGCTTGACTTTCCCGTTCTCGTGCTTCCTGCTTGCTTTTATATTCCCCTTGATCTCGTAGATGGATCGATTCTGCGGCGACAACATGCTGCCACGCCGCCGCCGCCGCCGCCGCCGCTGCTGCTGTCACTGCCACTACAACCGCCGCTGCCACCGCCGCTGCCGCTGCCGCTGCCGCTGCCGCTGCCGCTGCGGCTACCGCTGCCGCTGCCGCCGCTGCCGCTGCCGCCGCTGGGTGTGCTGGTGGTCCTTGCAGATCCACTACCGCTGCTCGGACCGCCTGCGCGATCTCTGATATTACTACTGTTGCTGAGCGGTTCATTAGTACCGGGAGGTGGTGCAGCGCCACTCGAAGAGCCTGCTTCAGCAGAAAGAGGACGACGGGGAAACATGGTGGTGATCTTCCGCGAATCTCTCTTGGCTTTTTTAGCAGACGCGGTCCTCCCGTTCGGCCCTGGCTTCGACGCTATGGCCTTGTTGGTGGTGCCCTTTGGACGCCCTCGCTTGGAGCGCAGCTCATCGTAGGGGTTGGGCGCGGATGTTGGTGTTGCTCCCACCACAGCAAACATGCCCGGGTAGAGCAACGTCACCAGCCCCGGTACGCGGCCTGGTGTTGGCGCGCATTGTGTGATATCAAACACCGCTGGGTATAGATGCGCGAGCAGCCCCGGTACGCAGCGCTCGACCGGTGAGAGCTGGTCCCTTGCTCCGATGTACCGCATGAGAGACCATAGACTACAGCGTGCGTGTAGACTAATAAATCACCATGTTCCTCATTGCTGTTGAAAGCAGGTTGATCGGACCGGATGGCAAGCGCCAGGGCTCACTGCTATCGAAACGACTCTGTTCCTCGAGCTCATCTCTAGTGCTGTGGTCTGGGAATGCCCACGGCACCTCTGCCTCGGAGATGCTTGAGACAGACGTAGCCGGCACGGGTTGCTCTGCGGGCCACGACGACAGCTCGCAGGCTCCAAGAAATGCAACCAACCAGGCCAGAGTGGACATACACCGCCACACCATCATGGTTCGTCGGGGGCGTCACCGTGGGCGTGCTTGGTGGTGTGTCTGCTTCCGCCCTCTCCCCTCTCAGGTGGTGGTGTGGAGGCGAGAAGTTGTGGTTGTACCTCTCGCTTCGGGGCTGGAGCCAGCTGCAGCCCGCCCGAACTGGTTCTGTCCTTACAAAATCGGAGGTCGTATCACCAATCCTGCGAAGGGATCCTTAGGGGGTGGGTTTGGTTCTGGAAGGTTATTATTCTGGTTCTCTGCTCTGTGTACGTGTGACGCGCTGCGCGCGCTGCTGCTGTGCTGCTGCTGTTGCGCTGCACGAACGAGCGAGGAGCGAGAGAGACAAAGTCAAAGCGGAACCCACCTAATGCCCGCCTAATGTGCCATCAATGTTCCCACCGCCCAATGCAAACCAGCAAACCCGGTGCCTATACACCTCGTAGACTATACCTCCGATACCTCACCAAATATTCCAAATACCGTCAGGTCAAAGGCGCAAACGCCGCGCGGCTGCTGTGTGGCTATGTGAGAGGTCGGATCATCTATGCCGCCGCGGCCGTCCCCCCTTCCTACTGCCATCAATGTTCCCACCGCCCAAAATGCACACCCGGTGCTCGCTCACGCACGCGCATAGCGAAGCTCGATTACCAAAGTTCAATTATTTTTGAAATTCCTGCCGTTAGGTCAAACTCAACGCAAACGGCGCCGCTCCCGCTGCTATATGACCTGGTAGAGGAGCTGGTATGAGAGGGAGAGGTCGGATATCCGACCAATTCTGCGAGATTCTGCGAGAGGCTTACCCTTCTCCCCTCTAAATGTCATCAATGTTGATCAATGTTGCCACCGCTCAATGCCAACCAGCACCGCGGTGCTGTAACACGCGTTGGTGTAGGTACTCTAGTCTAGACTATGTACCAGGATTCAAAATTGCTGCACTGAGGCGGTGCGCTGCTGTGTTGACAGCTGCCCAAATAGGGATTGACGTCCACGGCGCACTATTCTGAGTCACTGCTCCGCTACCAGCAGCCTGGTCCTCTAGATTGCCACTGCTGTCTACCTAGCTCGCTCTTCAGACTTTACGGCACAGCAAGTTGTTTCCGGAGCAGGTATGTAGCATCCTGTGATACCGATATCGGACTTGACAGTTTGCGCTGAGAGAGGTGAACGCTTCATATGATTCTCTGCTTTGCGGTAAAAGGCCTCGTAAATACTTGTGTGCTGGACATACTCCACAACCAGCAACCAGTAATGTTCATGCCGGCAGCGGTTGAAACTGCACAACAGCTGAATCTCGCGGTCAGAAATCCAGAAATCGGCAGGGATTTGAGGGATTTCACGGTTTCAGGGCTTAATCGTTTCGTCCATGGCTGGGCGAACGAGGGAGGGAGATCAGACAACAATTTTTCGAGTCGTTTCCCTCTGTGGAGGGGAGGAGGGCTAGGGTCGAATAGCGCAAAAAACAAGCGGACTGCCGCAGCCGTCCTTCGTCCTTACATATTTACCCAAGAAAAAGGCAACAATAGGGGTTCATGCAAGCAGCACGGGGGGGGGAGCGTCATGCTGGGGGCAAACAGCGAATCCTTTGACACGAAAATACCGTGTGCTGCAAACAAGGGCCCATTCGCAGCTTCTCTTTTTACCCGTTTCCCCCGTTTTCCCCCTGTTTTACCACCCCCTGGACAAGCTTGCATCGCCCGCTGCCCCATCACCGCCCTTCTACAACTACAACCTATCACGGGGCTTGCCGGTGGGGGGTTGACAAAAAACAGTGAGTGGACCTTTTCATGCGCCATTCCACCACAGCTCGGTCGCGGACACCACAGAAAACCAAACAAAAAAGAGTCCTCAGAGTCCAGACTAAACGAGTACAAAAATCTCGCATCACCATGCAGCCTGGAAATCCGTCGGCACGAATCGCCTGTTTCCCATGCCCCCCATTCACGATCCACCACGCAGGCCTCCAAGCATACGACAGACAGGTGCCGAACGTGCGTCGGAGTGCGTCCACGGCAAAAACCAACGGCATTTGCGCTCTAGTAAACGACCAAATTCTACAAGAACGTCAAAAACACGCGGCCGAATTGATCAAACGATCTCATCAAAGGCTTCTCGCAGAAGCACCGGCCGCAAAACCAAACTTCGGCCATGCAAACTTTCAGCCTCTCACTGCTGTGACCCAAAACGCGCTTGACCTCGTTACCCACGGTTTTGCGGTTGATTACCCCGTTCTCGGTCTCATTGATGAGACCAACCATGAACGCGAAGCGGTCGAATTTCATGACATTCAGCATGTGCAGAAACTTTTTCTTCTTCGCGTGGTTGTGCTCGTGCACCGTCAGACAGACCCCCGACAACTGGCGACAGGAATCAATCCAACCGAACGCCTGGCGGCATTCTATCCCATGGTTGCAGTCGTTCAGGGTGTCTGGCGCATAGTATGGCCCGGCATCACTCCCCAAGGGGTGTCTTCGGCGCTTTGTCGCACCGGGCTCCTCAACGGGAGGTGTAACATTGAACGACAGTCCAAACTCTGCCACTTTCCCGTCGGTGCTCTTCTCGGGATTCATCAAGCCCAACTGGATTTGAAGGGCTTTGGCACGCGCATTCGCCGCGCCAAAGCATGCCCCGGACCGCACAGCCAACACTGCCGAAACGAAACCGTGCATTGAGTCCAGGAAGGTGAAACGTCAGGGGCGATGCGGCAGAACAAGCGCTTCGTTGTCAAACCAGGCGATCACGTCTCAACACAGGCGATCACGTCTCAACACAGTTTCAGCCTAGAGTCACACGCACCTGCTCTCTTCTTCGCGTCATCGTTGGCCGGCAGAAGCCCGTCCGCGACGAAGTTCTCCTTGGCCTTACAGTGGTGCAATCCCCAAAGAGCAGAACCAGATATTGCGGAAGAGAATAAGACGTGCGGCGAAGTTGTTGGCGAGAGTTTGGCCTGGTGGTTACACCCCATGGGCAGTCTGTGCGCACGCTAATTTGGCTAAATTTTGCGTAGGCTTATCTGTGTGTTGCGCTATGGGTATCGATAGCAACGTCATAGGCCGGTGGATATGTACAAAGGATGATGGAGCGGGGGAGCGAGGGTGAACCGATACGCATCGTGCACCAAAGACGACGCAGAAATAACTGGCGACGCCAACCCAACGACTACACAGAGTTACGCTTAGCATGAGGAGTGTACAAGATTCCACGACGCCTGAAACTTGAACAGAACTTGAACACATCCGCACAAGTTTACGCGAAAAAAGGAAGAGATAGCGTGAGCATCAAAGCGAGCACAACCACAGATCAAAAAAATACCTGACAGAATCCGCAAAGACTCAGCGCCTATCCCATCAAGGGCTTACCTGCGCGTAGTCGAAACACAGATTCTCGAGTGCATCGCGTCCAACGTCCTTGTCGCCAACCAGCAGCTCAAAGACAGGGTCGGAGAAAGGCGGAAGTACCGGCACCTCGCCGGTGATGGACCCTGTAGCCACGGCGAGAACACGTGTTGAGAACACGCTTTGCTCCGACAGAGTCTTCCGCACGGAGTCCATGTCCACCTCCCCCCCATCCTCGACAAAGGCTGCCACTGGCGCAGGGTCTCCAACCTCTCCGATGCAAGCTGCGACTTGGGTGGTGCGTGCATTGAGGACAGCCACGATCTCGAAGAGGTCCAGCGAGTAATGGCTATGGCGGTGCAGCTGTCGCCAACAGCCCCGAGCAAGTAACATGAATTCCGCCGCGGCGAACGACCCGGCGTCGTTCACCGCTGAGACCTCGAGAAGCTGCGAGAAGTCCAACTGTTGTTGCCGGGGAGACGGAGCCGCATCTCGCAGGAGATTGTACACGTTCTTCTGCGGGCATGACTCCTGCTCAACGACAGGTGGTGTATCCTCTTCAGCACCGCTGAAGTTGCTCCCCGGCAGCGACGCCAGCGCCGGGATGTCTACTCGGCGCATGCCCTTGTCGTCGGGCTCGCCAATCCGGGGAAGAACTCCATTGTCGGGGGCCGCCGTTGGGCAGCGTTGGTGCACGATCGGTCCCACGCGGCACATGATATCCGAGATCACGAGGATGGGCATATGCTGGAAACAGGGAAAAGCGGATCATGCGAGAGCATGGGAGAGGCGCACAGCAGTGTCAGCACATCAAAAATAAGGAACCATCGCTTAGACACAACGTGCGGACAGCATTCAGCAAACACGATTTAAGTCATCCAGTTTTCGGGAGGATGGAATAACAGGCAAACAGTCAGGGTTATTTTCGATTTTGATGTACGAAACAGACTGACGGCTAGGGTTATTCTGGATTTTCTCAGGTCTGTAGGCGACAGGACATCAAACCCAACATAACCAGCCTCTCCCACTCGAACATGTGGTTGCTAATGTGTTTTCTTAGGCTCAGTGTAGACGCACTTGAAGCCGGCGTTTCAGGCAAGTACGTGGACAGTTTACCAACGACCACGTGCCCCATGCCCTACGACCGAGCATGCAAGCAACCAATGTATTACGCGGTCTTTGTGAGCGAAAAAACAAATATGTTGGAGGGAGACACCCCGCGACACGAAGTCAAGCTTTTGTCGAAAACGGCTGGGTTATCCCAGGCCGGCCGACGGCGAAACCAGCGAAAAGCGCTTTTTCCACACTTTTTGTAGTCCTTTGTCGATTATGAGAGGCATTCGAAGCTCTTACAACACGTAGACGCGTGGACAAACCGTTAAACCGCTTCCACGGCCATCTGGGGGGTGCATTGGTGACGTTTGAACGGCGAAAGCTGCTTGATTTTGTATGGGATATTTTTGGTGGGAATTTTCGGCCCATCAGGGTGGTTGCAAAGCGCGTGTTGTGGGGGCCGCACGTCTAGCTTTGTAGATCTGCGAAGTTTTTCATGCTCCATAGGGGTATAGAAAAGCTGTGCAAGCAATACATCCGGCCCTAGATCGTTTTGGACAGAAATCAGCGCAGATGTTCCGATGGGCCAACTTAGAAAATCGCTTCGGCCGTATTTTTAGGCGTGGGAGCAGGTGTACAACGGCCGCCGCACCACATATTTCCGTTTCTTGGTGGAAAATTGAGCATCGACATGCGTCACCGGAACATAGCCGCCTAAAAAATATATCCCGGCGCGTTTTCTATCATTTGGAGGCCCGCAACTGGTGTTTGAGTGTTTTGGTCTAAAACGGCTGGGTTACCCCAGGCCGGCCGACGATGAACCAGCGAAAAGCGCTTTTTCCACACTTTTTGTAGCCCTCTTTCGGTTATGAGAGGCATGCGAAGCTCTTACAACACGTAGACGCGTGGACAAACCGTTAACCCACGCCTTGGACCATCTGGGGGGTGCATTGGTGACGTTTGAACGACGTGAGCTGCTTGATTTTGTATGGGATATTTTTGGTGGGAATTTTCGGCCCATCAGGGTGGTTGCAAAGCGCGTGTTGTGGGGGCCGCACGTCTAGCTTTGTAGATCTGCGAAGTTTTTCATGCTCCATAGGGGTATAGGAAAGCTGTGCAAGCAATCCATCCGGCCCTCGATCGTTTTGGACAGAAATCAGCGCAGCTGTTCCGATGGGCCAACTTAGAAAATCGCTTCTGCCGTATTTTTAGGCGTGGGAGCAGGTGTACAACGGCCGCCGCACCACATATTTCCGTTTCTTGGTGGAAAATTGAGCATCGACGTGCGTGAACGGGACACGGCTGTCTAGAAAAAAAATCCCGATGCTTTTTTGATTATTTTGGAGCCCGCAACGTCGTTTCGCGTGTTTTCGTCCGAAACGGCCGAACTACCCCTGGCCAGTACCGGCGGCACAACACAAAAATCAAAATTTCTACTTCAATTTCTGTTATTTTTTTGGGAATGACAAGCTTGTTTTGCTCTGATGGCCCATAGGCTCGTGAAAAAAGGGTCAAACCACTCCTTCGCTTATCTGGGGGGTGCGTTGGTGCCAGTTGACGGCACGCCAGTTTCTGTGTTTTTCTCAAAATATTTTTTCGGGCGATTTTTAAACCGGACTGCACGACTTCAAAACCGCACTGTGAGGCCGGCACGTGGAATTTTTTCGCAAACTATGATTTCTCATGCCGGTATATTGGCTTGGGCGCGTTCCTATGTAAAATTTTCCAACCCTGTGAGCGTTCTGCGGAAACTGTGTTTGTTTTGGTTGGAGAAAGGCATATTGGTTTCCCGTTTTCTGGGCTGCCTGGCCCCCGCAACCAAGTAAAAGTGGTGTCCCAAGCCGTACATTTTTCGTTTTCGTGTCGAAATCATGGATAAGGGTTTTTATCTGGTGCATAGCCATCTATCAAAAAAAAGAAAAACGTATTCGGTCAATTTTGGAGCCCGTGACACTGTTTTGAGTGAGATCTCGGCCAGCGCCGGGTTCGGCTAACTTTAGCCCCAACGGGGGAATACGCGAGAATCACGATTTCCACCCCCCCTTTTTTTTTTCGTGCGCAAGAAGGAAGTTTATCATGCTCTACTAGGTCATAAACACACGGTGAAACCATTGTTTGATCGCTCCCGACGCCTGAGAGGTGTGTGGGTCATGTTTGTGTCGAGCGGGATGCTGATTTTCAGCTTGAACAAAAGATTGTTGAGAGAAGGACGCTGGAGGGTGGTTTTCGGCAGCACACGCGACGCTTGCGGGGCGAAAATGTTGTTCTTTATGACAAAACATTGACCCCAATATGCATTGGGTGCCATATATCCCTAATCCAACCTGATGTGCTATCCCTAAGAGCATCGGGGAAGAGTTTTTCGTGTGTGCTCATGCCTCTGTACTCCCCAACGGCGGGGAACCCTCGTCGCCATACAGGATTCCATCTTGTGGGATCTGCACACGAGCGACATGTGCGCTCTTGGGGTGAACATCATGTTGGATTAGGGATATATGGCACCCAATGCATATTGGGGTCAATGTTTTGTCATAAAGAACAACATTTTCGCCCCGCAAGCGTCGCGTGTGCTGCCGAAAACCACCCTCCAGCGTCCTTCTCTCAACAATCTTTTGTTCAAGCTGAAAATCAGCATCCCGCTCGACACAAACATGACCCACACACCTCTCAGGCGTCGGGAGCGATCAAACAATGGTTTCACCGTGTGTTTATGACCTAGTAGAGCATGATAAACTTCCTTCTTGCGCACGAAAAAAAAAAGGGGGGGTGGAAATCGTGATTCTCGCGTATTCCCCCGTTGGGGCTAAAGTTAGCCGAACCCGGCGCTGGCCGAGATCTCACTCAAAACAGTGTCACGGGCTCCAAAATTGACCGAATACGTTTTTCTTTTTTTTGATAGATGGCTATGCACCAGATAAAAACCCTTATCCATGATTTCGACACGAAAACGAAAAATGTACGGCTTGGGACACCACTTTTACTTGGTTGCGGGGGCCAGGCAGCCCAGAAAACGCGAAACCAATATGCCTTTCTCCAACCAAAACAAACACAGTTTCCGCAGAACGCTCACAGGGTTGGAAAATTTTACATAGGAACGCGCCCAAGCCAATATACCGGCATGAGAAATCATAGTTTGCGAAAAAATTCCACGTGCCGGCCTCACAGTGCGGTTTTGAAGTCGTGCAGTCCGGTTTAAAAATCGCCCGAAAAAATATTTTGAGAAAAACACAGAAACTGGCGTGCCGTCAACTGGCACCAACGCACCCCCCAGATAAGCGAAGGAGTGGTTTGACCCTTTTTTCACGAGCCTATGGGCCATCAGAGCAAAACAAGCTTGTCATTCCCAAAAAAATAACAGAAATTGAAGTAGAAATTTTGATTTTTGTGTTGTGCCGCCGGTACTGGCCAGGGGTAGTTCGGCCGTTTCGGACGAAAACACGCGAAACGACGTTGCGGGCTCCAAAATAATCAAAAAAGCATCGGGATTTTTTTTCTAGACAGCCGTGTCCCGTTCACGCACGTCGATGCTCAATTTTCTCACCAAGAAACGGAAATATGTGGTGCGGTGGCCGTTGTACACCTGCTGCCACGCCTAAAAATACGGCCGAAGCGATTTTCTAAGTTGGCCCATCGGAACATCTGCTCTGATTTCTGTCCAAAACGATCTAGGGCCGGATGTATTGCTTGCACAGCTTTCCTTTACCCCTATGGAGCATGAAAAACTTCGCAGATCTACAAAGCTAGACGTGCGGCCCCCACAACACGCGCTTTGCAACCACCCTGATGGGCCGAAAATTCCCACCAAAAATATCCCATACAAAATCAAGCAGCTCACGTCGTTCAAACGTCACCAATGCACCCCCCAGATGGTCCAAGGCGTGGGTTAACGGTTTGTCCACGCGTCTACGTGTTGTAAGAGCTTCGAATGCCTCTCATAACCGACAGAGGGCTACAAAAAGTGTGGAAAAAGCGCTTTTCGCTGGTTTCATCGTCGGCCGGCCTGGGATAACCCGGCCGTTTTAGACCAAAACACTCAAACACCAGTTGCGGGCCTCCAAATGATAGCAAACGCGCCGGGATATTTTTTTTAGGCGGCTATGTTCCGTTCACGCACGTCCATGCTCAATTTTCACGTACAAAAGCAAAATAAGGTGGTGTGGTGGCCATCTTCCATGTCCTAAATTACGCACGTCAGGTTTTGGGATATTTCGGGACCATTCATGATTCTTCAAATGCCTCACGCGCACCACAATCATGATGTCCGTAGATTTTACCCACGTGCCGCTCGAGCACGAAGGCGAAAAGGCTGCTGCTCCGTCTTTAAAACCGAACTCGCCACAAGATAGAACAGACACTCACCAAATGGTGAAGCAGGAGTATCGCCAAGTCCAATGCGCTCTCCGCGCGGAGCATGAACATGTGGCACATCATGATCCCGTCTGCTGTATATCCGCCCTCGACACCAGACGACACCAACACCCCCCCCCTGTCCACGAAGAACTTGGCGCAGTCCTCCTTTCCGAAATTTGTGGTCCGCCAATGCTTCGCCACATCCCGGAACAGCTCCTGCATCAACGCCTTCGTACCGTATCTGCAGGAAGAGTGGGGAAAGCAGTACACGCGAGATCGACAGGAAAAAAAACTTGATCGCACGGAACGCGAGTACCACGATAACCCTATATATCTGCGAGGCTCGAAAAAAGGCCCACGTTTCTTCTACATTGCTAGAACCCTGGAGTTGAGTATTCTTCGTGCCAAATTCCGCAAACATTTTCGGTGCTGAATCCAGAATCAACCGCCATCTCCACAGTTCGCCCGCTTCCATCGCAACATACCCGACAACGAAGTATACCCCGCGAATATTTGGAGGAGCATCAGAGGGCCGTGTTTAAGTTCATCGACTCACCTGCTCATTCCCGGCCCCTTCTTCCCAAAGCACAAGCGGTACAACGCCTCCAGGTCGTCCATTTTCATGCTGTCCAACATCTCTTCCAGCACCTTCCCCTCTCCATTCTCCTTTACGTAGTGCACCAGTGCCTCACCATCGGCTGCCTCGACATCTCCTGGCTTCCGGGCTTTCCCGCGGGCAGGAATTGTGATGACGTTGGATTTCCGGTTTTGGGGGCAAAAGGTGATCGGCGTGTTGTACGAGAACTGGCGCGTCTCCAGAAAAACCATCGGAGACAGCATGCTGATGATGAGCCAGAACCAGTCCAGGTCCATGTCGATCACCTGCTCCGTGCGCACCCGGAAATACTCTTCCATGCTGATGTTGACGGCTGGCTTGTTGCAACCATCCCATTGGCTGAGAAGCGGGAAGTAGCCGTGTTTGTAGCTGAAGTACGAGTAGGGGTAGTCCGTGAGGGCCTCGAAGCAAAAGAACGCGTCCACCAACTGCTTCGTAAGGTAGTTGTTGGTCAGGGCTCTGGCGTGCGGCAGAGCACGGTAGGCAAGAGGGCAGCAGGGGGGGTGAAACAGGTACGAACGGAAGGCATGAGCACATGCGTCAAAATTCATGCGAACTTGACACTATCTTTAATATTCCATCGAGTGTGGTGGTTCGTACTCATCCCCCATACCCGAGTCCCCGTGTCCCCCGGCAAGGTAGAATGTCGCAATCTTACCCTCTCCCGGCCAAGCTACCCACCTGCTCGCCAACTTGTTCTCGCTCAGCCATCGCAGGTTGTTCGTCAACGGTTTGATGAGGTTGGTGAATGCATGGCTTATGGCCGTGCCCCCTTGAACTTCCTGCCGGACCCTGTCCATGTAGGTGAGATGCACCGCAAGCTTGTTGCCGAACAAAAAATACCCGTGCTCTCGCCAATCATCACCCGTCACTGCCTCCACGCCGCAGTCTACACAGCCCTTGATCTTGATCACGACTTCCTGCAAGTTCGGGCCCTGGGCATGTAAGACAACAGGAAAGAGCCGGACGTACCGGAAGATCAAGGGTTGAAGTTCATGGAAGCACGAGCCCACGTTGTTTTTAAGTACGCCTGTTCGGAAAGGCATCGAGAATTGCGGCACCCTTCTCACCGTATTTCGCTCCCTTGGAAACCTGGTTGCAATCTGGCATTAGATCTTCAAGAGATACGCGTTGTTTGACAAAATGTTCACGGAGAAATACACTTTGTCGCCCTCCTTCTCTCCCGCCCTGCCCGAACCTCGTACGGCCCTGCCCGAACCTCGTACGTATTCCTCACCAACCAACTACAACTATAACCTTCCTAGGGTGAAACGGATACTCAAAGCACATTCACCAAAACCCGACTTCATCGCCAAATCCACTCACCGGAACCACAGCTGTTATCGTTGCGCTGTCCGTGAGGACGAGCATCCGGCCACACTTATGGCACACCGCCTCGAGACTGCAAATGTCTTTCTGCCCGCCGCCAACGCCGTCGAGCTGGCCACTTGTCCCATCGTCGGTCAGGGCAGCAAGGACGTTTACCGGGAACTTGATGGTGCCGGCCACCCTCAACAGCTTGTCTACCTTCGTCGCAAAGGCGGATTGGTTGCGTTTATACTCCGACGTAGCTGAGCCGACGCCTTCGTCGCCGGACCCCCCTCCTTCCTCCTCATCGACGAGCTCCTCGCAAATCTGGCTACCCATAACACCCAGCGCCGCGATGTCCGTGTGGACGCACCTGCCACGCGTAGACTTCCTCGCTACACCGCATGGCGTCGCTCCGTTAGCCTAGCCAACCAAAGGACATAGGGGATCAAACGGGGGTAGAGAAACCATGCCATTTAATCATATGGTTGGTCAGGAATCGTAAATTGCGGCAACAGCCACATCATAACGCCTTGCCTTGTGGCTGAGTGTTTCAAGCTGGAGGCGACGAAGACTTGAGCCATCTCAGCCCGTTCGTCAGAAACACCACTCTGTTCCGAGCGTACATAGCACGCAGGTATACCTCTGAGTTCCACCAAACATGACACACGTGTACGTCCAGACCACCACGACTCTAAAACAGTCTACATTCGAGCATGTACGTTCCCCACTACTACGTCGGACGGATGATACCTTGCATCGGAAACTTTGGGAACTCTTCTTCGTGGGTGTCCTCCTGCTCGTTCGTGCACCACCAGCTCCACCTTGCAGGTCGACTTCGCACAACACCACCGCCCAGCCTTCAGCAATAGATCGGTGCCCTGGATGGTACACGGCGTAGCTCCTGGTCTCGCCGAAGCGCACCAACAACGGCATCCCATGCCCCTCGGCGATCGCCGCCATTCGCAAAACGTTCTCCAGACCGCTTCACCCCAGCTTCAGCTCGTTCGCTGCTTGGTTAGCCACGGCTTCGAAGCCTTCTCCATCCTTACCGAAGACGACAGGCTCGGCGTCAGGAATGTCTGCCGTCATAACTGGGACCGTCTCGCTTCCAACGACTACGATGGTGTGCTCACACCGGGCGACGGCCCTTCGCTGAACGTTTTCAGCGAGGTCGGGTTCCTGCGCGTGGACACTGCGAATCACGAAATCACGAAGAAAAAAATACATGTAGATTCAATCGAAGATGACCACCTGTAGAGCATTGATCGCACGCACTCTAGTAGCTCATGAACATAGGTCCGGGAAAGCATTCAAATTTCTTAGCTTCGATACGAGAAACGAGAAACTCAAAATGGCCGGGGTTGAACCTAACTGCATTTCCGTATTCCTCAAAACCTACTTACGTGGAGGTGCATTCGTTGTTGCAGCAGACAATCTTGTAGCTGCCAGGCTGCTGGGGGTCGAAGTTCGTGATGACGGTGTAGCGGTCACCCCGAGCGGTCGTGGAAACAGAGTACACCGCCTTTAGCCCCCCGCTGGAGCTATCTCCTGCGACCAGGGGGTCGAGCTGGACCGGGAGCTTGAAAGCGCTGGTCGCTGGCTTCCGCCGCGTCGCCGTTCTCTCAACGGCGCTCCGTCGTACGATTCCGTCTTGTGCGCGTCTTGCGGAATTGGCCCTGACCCTCAAGTTTTCCGAGTGCCTGGATCATGAAATGCGGAGCGTGGCGGCGACGAGAATCGATGGTGGTAAGGTCCACAGCAAACGTCAGAGAAGAGTTGTCAGACGGAAACGAACAAGTCGGAGGCGTGGCATGTTATACGTTTTTTGATTCAATACACACTGCACAATGTTGAACGAACCTTGCATACATTGTCCCTTTGGTACCGACCCTGATTGCTCTTGCGCGCGGAACCCATCAAACGGCGGCATGGAATCGCAGAAGACGGAAATGCGAAATGCGGAAAAAACTTGCTCACCTTTTACATTTACATCCCGACTGAGTCCGACCCCCCCCGTCGCAAAAACAGCAGATGAAGCGATCTTTGTCCATATCGATGAACCCATGGGAGATGTGGCAATGCCATCGGGCATTGCACTTGCTGCATATAGACCGAATCGTTTCACTTCTCCCACAGCACCAGCTGCGTGCCTTCAGAGAGAACCCATCTGGTATGGAGATCGCGATCGGGGCCCTGTCAGCAACGCTGTCATCTTCTTCCTCCTCTTCCTCGTCGCCGGCTCCGTCGCCACCGGGTGCTGCAAACAGAGGCAGTGGCGCATCAAGTTCATCACGTGCGCCACTGTCCGCTGGGAGAGGTGGCTGGATCACCACCCCACCGGCCGCCTGCGCCGAAAAATGCAGAGAAGCAGCAACGGATGAAGCCACCAATCCTCCCGCTGCTCCCGATCCCGCTGCTCCCGATCCTTCCCACGCCGATCCTTCCCACGCCGCCCCTTGCCCGCCCCGAGCTCCAACCCCCGATGCGCCCATTCCCGCAATTCCGAAATTTTCGAGTTCCGTCGCACCTGCCTGCCCAAGAGCAGAGGAGAGAGGCACACGCACAGCATGCGGTGCTGCCATTCCAGCATCTGTGCCATCGGGCATACCCACAAACGTCCCCACCGCCCTTGGCGCCTGCGATGGCTGCTGCGATGCCATGACAGCAGCGGTAAGGCCGTTATGTGATGAATGGCCGTGTTGATACGCCCTTGTCTGCATCCACCCCAGATGCTGCGGGTTGTGGAGTCCCACTCCACGCGAGCTGCTGCTGAGCTCCACCCGAGGTATACCGCCGTTGATACTAGTCGGGACGGCATCGCAGGCGCTTGGTTGGGTCTGTTGTTGGCTCCCGCCCTCATCCCCGGCACCAAGAAAATTGCGCGAAACGTTGTCGGGGCCGGCCGTTGAGCTGGAATTCCACGCGTGGGGTTGATGGCAAGTGCTGCTAGAGCCTTGCTGCGACGCTGCTGCTTGCTGGAAGGTATCCACCATCTCCTGTCCGTTGATCGCGTGAGAGACAAGGTGTTCGCGCTCGAGCTCTCCGGGTGCAGGGTGGGGACCGGCAGTCGCAGCATGATCCCACGAACTGCTGCTGGATGTGGTGCCGCTATGTGGCTGGCCTGTGCCTCCTCCTCCGCTTCCGTGGGGAGAAGCCATCGGCCGAATGGTTCGCTAGGCGGATGCGTGCTTCTACAACCTTTATGGGTGGGGTGAGCTGTGGCGGACGCCACCGTGTGCGAGAAAGCACGCGACCCAGCAGCTTCGAGCACGAGCACACCTCGCCGCCGCTCGCTTGTAAAAAAGCTGGTTCGGATGACGTGTGTGTAGACTGCTGTCCAATCAACGGCTGTCAATCTGAACCAATTTAGCATTGAAAGATCCCTTCGCAGAGTTGGTGATATATACTGCAACTCTCTCTACTCCCGACAACGTCCCACTCGTACGCACGCCCTGCTGGTGCCTGCCTGCAACGTGGTGTACGTGTACATTTTTGGCAACCCTGGGCGTGCTTGCCGATCATCAAACCGCCCGGAAGATGCTAGTCGGAGAGGTGAGAGTGATATACGAGGCCTGCGTACGGAAGGTCTGAACAGGATGACGTGTAAGGCCAGCCTTTGACAATAGTGTTCGTTTGTTCTTCGCCATCTTCCCTTCTGTTTTGTCGCCTGTGACCGCCTGGGCTGTGTACCTCTCGGACGAGGCAGGTATTCTTTGTCTCCCTCTTCCTCTCTCTCGCTCTCGTCCACAACAGACGCTCACACTCACCCAGCACAGCGGTCAGGCTACTCCGCTTTCAAGTCGCAACTTTTAACGGGAACCTCCGCTTGTAAACGTCAGTAAACTAGGGTTGGGTACTGGCGCTGCGCGCCAGTAAAAAGTATACTGGCTGCGTCAGCAGCCAGTAAACTGGATCCGATCAGTACACTGGTGGCGCGGCGAAGCCGCGCGGTCGCGGCGCAGCCGCGACCATCGGCCCCCCCCGGCTGGTGAGGGGGCCCCGCCGGAGGCGCCCCCGGAGGGCCCCGCTGGAGGCGCCCCGCCGGAGGCGCTTTTGTACGCGATTTGGCTTCACTAGAGCAAAAAAAATGAGTGATTTTGGCCCATCTGACAGAGGCACTATCGCGGGGAAAACGATAGAAAGTTCGAGTTCAACGACTGAATTTGTTGGTTTTGGACATGAGGAAATATTGAAACATTATAATATTACTCCCAAGCAACCAAGTGGCATCCATCAGTTGGGTTGATGAGCGACGCTATCGTATACCCGACTCTACGAAGGACACAACGACACGGCAGCCCTGAACGTATACCAAGAAACCAGCTAAGAGCTAAAAAGTAAAAAGCTAACCAGGAAACGGGAAACGACAGGAGGTGCGCAACAAAAGAAGCACCAGCTTGCTAGAATGCAGAATGCTACAGATACGAACAGCACCAAAGCTACCCAACCGAAACCTACACTGCGCACAAATTACTGCCGCTAGCACACAAAATCCTCCCCATCAAAGACAGTCACTACCCTAGCCCCTCTTCGCGGCCGCGGGGGTGTTCGATTGCTCCCATTCCTCGACTATATTATTTAGCCCGGTAATTATAGATTATTAATGTACGAAGTAGTAGTTTTGTTCTTTTTAAACCTACAGATTTAAATTATTAATACGAGGTATTTTAATTTATTACTACGCTCGATATTACTTCGTAAATTATTTTGTTTCGAGTAATATGCAATTCTAATATACTATTTAGAATTGTCTCTCAGAGGAGGTCTGAGTATATGGGTTTCCGCTGGTTCTTGAGGCGTAATACAGAGGAAATCTGCGAATATAAGAATGTACTGGAGTACTGGCTGCTGACGCAGCCAGTGCATATGCACTGCCAGTGCATATGCACTGGCAGTACGTACTGGTTCAGTACCCAACCCTACAGTAAACGATCTCAAAAACAAGCTTATTACAAAAAACACTGGTGCATGTTCAAACCGCGTTGGGGACATACCGATAGCTGCTGAGGTGGGTGTGTTGGAAACCCAACGTCGAAGATTCATGTCTGCACTGCCGTGGACCTCGATTAGTGTGGATAGGACACTGTTGATCACTACAGGGGTTACGCGGGGATGGCCCGCCCACCGCCTCTATTCGTTGAGGTAGGTATCTATGGTCTATGACGTATATATGTCCACACTTATATATATCTACCCTTTTTTTTTAAGGTCATGGACCATAGGTAGGTATCAGTTATCGACTCGCGAGTACCGCGGCGTGCGAGACATCGGTGTCGGACTTTCAGCGACTGCTGCGACCTTCGACATCTCTGCTCCAGGAGCAGATTTGAGCGTGCCAACACACACGTCGCCTCTGAATTGTATCCTCTATTGACCCCGCATCTGAGGTCGGGCCCTGACCTTTGTTAGCGCGCCCTCTGTTCCGACGTTCTATATGAATGACCTGCTTTCTTTTAGAGGGGTAAGAACGAACCTCTCCGAGCCACAAGCACCCACTTGTCTGAATCGATGCACGAGCGTGCGGGCGCAAGCTGCCGGAAACCTTAGACGATATACTGACTGACTACGGCTGCTTAGGAGGTTTCGCCATTTTCATCGATTGATCGAAAGTATACGGATGTGCTCTGTGTTTGAGCACGAGCGAGCTTGTAGTTATCACTCATTTTTTCCCGAGAACACTGATTCGGCACGGAAAGTGACGTGGCCAATTGCAGATTAGACGCCGGTTTCGGCGGTATCTTGATAATGAGTCGCCACAGACGAGGGCACACACCAGTTGTAGGCGGGTGTGGGAAGTCCTCGGCTGGCCGTCGCTATCCTATCCTATCTTTCCTGCCTGACGTGGCACCTGTTTTTTACCCGCCGTTCTACGTAGTAAACAGTCTCGAGGCCCCTCGGGGCCCAGTGTAGTATTGCAGGCCCGTACTTACCATATATTTCTGCTTGATTTGTTTCTTCTGCGGCGTTGAGTGTGCCCAGTTTTTGTGACCACGGGCTCCCGTGGATGTTTTGGAATTGTATGAAGGGTCTACGTTCTGTCAGTCTGTGAAGATTTCACGTGATGGCACACTTCGTATTTATCCGTGCAGGCAGACGCTAGCTGCTATCCGGGGTCTGGGAGCCAGGGGCGAGCATAAGAGACATCTCGCCCACCTTCACTCAGGGGATATTCTCCCGCCAAGCGCCAGAAACACAACTATTCTACTTTCAACAAATCCCGTTGAAACACAAGGATTGTTGGGATCCACAGCATTGAGAACCCGTAACTATTGATAGAGCGCTGATGTGAGGGAAAGAAAAAGGAAAAACATGCTGTGGTGCTAAGTTGAGAGAAACTCGGAGCTTTTGCTACGCTATCGTAGAACAGCATGTTTTGTTGTCCCATATCTACCTTTCGGCCGATTTCGAGCAAAGTGTTTTCGTGTGGTGGTAATACAATCAGCATGCCCCTCTCTCCCTCCCTGTGCGCCGGCTTCCATCTCCCCATGCGTGCCGCCCGCGATTGTGTGCAGAGCCCCTCGGGGATCCTCATCCGGAAAATCCATGGAGTCATAGCAGAAATGCCCCGAGACAAGGTGTTTGCTCGCTGGTACGGAGACAAGGGGCACGTGGAGTCCACTCGAACGTTTCACGGGATCTGGGCCGCGAGTGGTGAGGTGAGGGGCTGTTTGTTTTTCTTCAAGACATATCTTGCGGCGGATGTATGTGGAACTATTTTCGGATTTCGGTGCCAACGTCCAAGTGATTATTATTCACGGATGGATGACATTGGAGTTCAAAACCAGGACCGATAGTTTTACAAAGCACAAGCAACTGGCCGCTCCGTAAATCTAGGCGACCCCGGCAAGGAGACCGGTAGTCTATCTCTATCAAGTTGCCGCCGACCCAACTTCGTTCAACGATGGAACAGAGTAGTTGATACCTCTTGTCACCGGAGGATGTTCTGCAGCAGCGGCCTGATGTACGTGTGTGACCACGTTATCGTATATCGTCACGATGTTCACCTCGCGTCGGAATTCCTACAGGATGGTAAGGTGTTACATGAAACATCTCGCGCTTTGAATCCACAAATCGTTGCCCCTTTGTCGGTACCATCTCCCTTTCCCGCAAAGCAGATCGCATACCTGCTGCGGTCGACGTTGGGCTTGAACAAGGGCGACCGCGTGGTACTAGCATTCAACTTCGGCCTACGCTTTTTCGTGGTCTTCCTGGGGTGCCTGAGGGCGGGCGTTGTCGCCGTGCCGGTGTACCCACCCAACCCCGCCACCCTGCAGAAATCGCTAGGGAAGCTTTCGTTGATCGTCGAGTCTTGCGAACCAAAGATGATTTTCCTCTGTCCGCTCGTCAACAAGCTTCGCCTGGCGTCCAAAGTGCGAGCCGTGGCCACAGGCAACAGCGGCTGGCCGGACTTGCCGTACCACTGCCCCATGGTGAAAGAAGAGACCCCGTCGAAGGCCAACACGTCTTCTTCTTCTTCTTTTCGCTTGTTGATGGGTGGTGGGAGAACCTCAAACGCCGACGAGAGGCGTAAGAGCTTCGACGACCCGAGCATCAAGGCTGCGGACGTCGCCTTCCTGCAGTTCACCTCGGGATCCACGTCCGACCCCAAGGGGGTCATGATAACCTTCGGCAACCTCGACCACAACATCTCCAGTGTCCTTCTTTCTTCCAACATGGTGAGACAACGGATACGGGTAGTAGTTTGCGGCACGCAAAAACCCCTGTGCTTCACGAACCTCGCGCACGAAATGTACGAAGCGTCCTGTTGTGGTTACGAATCGTTTAGTGCGCCCTCGAGGATAATATTTGGCATCGGTGTCATGATGGCGTACCCTCGCCTAGAGCTGCATGCACCGAAGTTCCATATTTTCCTCGTTCTTGGCGTGTCTATATTGAGCATCTGAATCTTCTTAGGGAGGTTGACGTCCCTTATATTTGAAATCTCAAAAGTGTGCGGATCTTCATGCTCTTTGCGTCGTTGTTCCACAGTAGTGCAAGTAGGATTGTTTCCAAATACTGACAAAGCACGGCACGTAACTTCGCCGTAGTCGTAAATTCTAAATTCGCCAGGCGGCGCCGCCATTTGGGTTTTACATGTTTTTCTCAATATCTTTGGTTTTGCTGAATCTCACTCTGCGTATGCTTTTTTGATTCACCTCAAAATTCTGGCCCGATACGAGAGCGAGCGCCGCTTTTGGGAGGGTGCGGATCCGCAGGTTGATACCTACACCTCAATGCTCCCCCGAAGTCTTCAGTTGCATGCAGCTCTAAAGACCTCGAACGCGTGACAAACAAGCTCTCTCACACCCGCCTTTGCAGCTTCCACGCTGCTTGGGCCAAATCTCCAGCATACTCTTATCCACACTTGGGCTATTTCACGGCCGTCGATCTCTGTTCCGGCACCTTCACTATTTTAGCAACCAACAAAGACATTCTCGGAAAAACACAGTGTACATCGATTCGCCGCACAGGAGGCCTAGACAGATGAAATGCAATACTAAGTGGTTCAGCAGCAAAACAAGAAAGGCCTTGATAAACAAAACAAGAAAGAACTTGATTAAGACAAGGAGGGGGGTGAATTGTCTTAGATGCCATCCGGGGTAAAGGCAACTCGGCCCTCCGGCAATTGTTTTCTATTTATTTCTCGCTCTAAACCGCCAAATCAAACCGTCGTCTAAACAACAGGAAACTAAAAACAACTCTGTCTCTTTGCTTTTGTTTTCAACGCTTGCCCGTTTTTCTTTTGTGTAATGACCTCGGAAATCGACTCCACGCGTGCGATTTGGGAGGGATTGAGCCACAGCAATTTATCCCTATCAAATCTCACTGAGGGAACGGGAGGGCAAAATGTTTCGACAATTTTCAAAAATTCTTTGGCCAAAAACGATTTTTACACGTGCCACCGCTGTGTTGAGAGGTGTAAACCTCAGCCGCGTAAATGATTGTCCTTTTACCCTTTACATGGCGCTTGAGTGGTCTACTCCTTCAAAATTGATTAACGGCAAAGCTAAAACGACAATTCTATTGGCACATTCGTGCTCCCCGCCCAAAAATTACCCTTCCCCGAAGTTTGGTGCCCGCCCCAGAATTCGACGACCCAAATTTTCAAACCGATCGGCCGTGTTTTCCAACTCGAGGAAATATTTCGGGCCATCCCCGCTCGTTGCGACTTCGAAATTCCCTGAAATTTCCCTCAGGTATAAATAAATCTGAAACTAGTTTTCGAAACTTCGCTGAATTTTCCCTGAGATTTAAATAAATCTGAAACTGTGAAACCCAGCAACAACCGTCGGTCTATTGTTTCTGCGATACGTCAACTTTATATCTCAAGACTGCCAGAATACTGTTCAGGCCTTCATCGAGGACATTCTGTCCCGCCTTCCCGAAACATGCGACAGTTTGCGCGGACGGCGCCTTCAAGGGTCGTTTGACGCTGCATGTATACTTTTCGGAATACGACTGTGTTGTGTCTAGCAACCCTCCTCGTCAAGGCGACTGTGCCCCATAAACCCAAGTTTCAATTTCTTTGGTATCGCGACTGCTGTACTTTTTCCTGAGAGCGTTTGTCGTCACGGGGTAAGGTTCTACGCTCAACATGATGAAGCAGATGTGCGTAGCATCGCTCAGTGCAAGCGCCCACGCCTTGTCGTTGAATTATTTTGTCATTTTACATTGAACGGGGCACAGGAAATCGCCGCAAGAGGGGGGCCACCGCCGCAAGACGGACGTGCTTGGTTCTCGTGGCTGCCGACGTCCCACGACATGGGGCTGATCCAGGGAACTCTCGTACCCTTCGTTGGCGGGTGGACGGCCGCGTATTGCTCTCCCATCAGCTTTCTGCGCCGGCCTCTGGTCTGGCTGGAGCTCATGTCGAAAGAGAAATCGCAAATGACAGCTGCGCCGGACTTCGCGTATCGGTTGTGCGTGCGGAAGTGGTAAGAGGGAGATCGGGAGAGAGAGAGAAAGTAGAACAACACGTGCAGCTAGGTTTCACAGCGGGGCGGTTTTTCGGTTTTTCTGCACGGCACTGCACGCAGAATACTGCGTGCTCGTCTGCCTCTTTCATACAGTTTTTTACATTAGGAGAAACAAATATACACACAGAAAGACTACCCGTTCGAGGTATAACTACACTCGAAGGGGATGTGTTGAAGTCTTTACAGTGAGTAGAGGAAAACCAGCTGGGTACTTGACTTATTTCGAGTTTGTTTAAGCCTATACACTGATGATTTATATCAGTGATACCAGTTGGTGCTTAGCACAAAAACATCTGCGTAGGTACATTTACATGTGGCCTGCACAGGGAACACGGCGCAATATGTCATGTTGACAGTAGTTGCTGGTTTAATTTAGAAAAATACATATATTAGGAAAAACAAATATGCACACAGAAAGACTACCCGTTAAACACATAAAAGCTCCCTGTTCGAGCGAAATTCATAGTCGTTCGAGGGGGGCTTTTTACAGCAGTATTTAGGAAAAACAAGTATACGTGCAGAAAGGCTACAGCAGTATGCAATAACCGACATACGTTAGTTTATCTATTTACTACAA